AAAAGAACCATTTACCAGGGGGGAGTGAACATTATACAACAAAATATAATGATAAGGTCAATGTTAACATGCTATATTTTTTCTATACTTTGGCTTTACATCAGAGGAATCATTATCAATATAAGTCATCAATATGCATTGTGACTATTTAGTGCCATTTGGTACGCATTTATACAATAATAAAGAGAGTTTTGTTCAAAATTATCAAATGATAAAGTGAATGTTAAGCTAATTAGCATAATGATAAGGTCAATGTTAAGATGTTATATTTTTTAAATATTATGGCTTTGCATTGGAAGATTCTTTAAAAATATAGCTCATCGATATGTCTTGTGACTATATGGTGACATTTAGTACACATTTACACAAAAATAATGGGAATTTTGTTCAAAATTATCAAATGATAAGGTGAATGTTAAGCTAATTAGCATAATGATAAGGTCAATGTTAAGATGCTATATTTTTTAAATATTATGGCTTTACATCAGAGGAATCATCATAAATATAAGTCATTGATATGCATTGTGACTATTCAGTGCCATTTGGTACACATTTATACAATAATAAAGAGAGCTTTGCTCAAAATTATCAAATGATAAGGCAAATGTTAAGCTTATTAGCATCATGATAAGGTCAATGTTAGAGTTATCCAGAGTTATCCCGCTCATTACGATTTTCAGGGCTATTGTGTAGCCCTGTCTTTTTTAGTTCAAAGTTGTAGCTGAATCATATTTAACGAAAGTATTTGTACAACCCTAAGCCAAATGAGAAACTTTCAAATATTTTCACCTGTATGCTACCATATGTTTGTATTGTACATGTACAATTATAAATTATGAGATTGTGTTGTGACATGCCGTATCAAAATTCAATCGCTTAATATAGAAATCATTCAGGGAGTGAATATAAATGAAACATAGTCCAACGTTAAAGTTTAAAGAATATTGTCAGATAATTCGCAATTACAAGCTTTAGCACATAAGTATTTATAAGTAGAAAGCCGATAGGCTCGGAATGCAAAGGCAAATGGCAACGCATGTGACATATATTTGCATATTATTTATGTAGAACACATGCAAATATATTATTAAAGCCAGTTAAATTGTATACAGGGCCCTATAAGATTTATGTACATACCTTTTCGTTGTTTGATGCATAATCCTTTTTTGTGTAGATATAAAAATCCAATCTTGTTTATTTCATAAAGCTAGGCGCACACACGACGATTTTAGTTTGCCGATTCCTGTCTAGATTGTCTAGATGGATGTTTTCATCAAAATGTGGCGAGTGGCGATCTATACTTGGTCATAATATTAGACCAAGTAGACTCGCGTACACGCGCGAGGCGCGAGCGCCGCGAGAAGGAAAACATGTCTGGGCAAGAGCTGCCTATATGTCTAAACCTGAATGGACCAACTACCGTAAAATCGTTGTGTATGCGCCCGGCTTAAAGCAGGGACTTTTGCCTGGTCCGTTAACTTACCTGTTGATATCACGTGCGCGGATTGCGAGAAACGGAAGAAATATTGGTCACAAATAAAACTAATGTAATTCCGAGGCCAGTTTTGGCCAGTAATTCTGAGGTCACAACTAATATCTGAAGTTTGTGCTTAATATTACCTTCCAACGCGGATTTTAGCCTTGTAATTTGTAATAAAAAGATCGGTAATTTGTGCTTCATACAGATACCTTTCATACAGAGTTTATTCTAGACAAACAGTGCAGGCGAGCGTTAGGTGATTTCAGCACCTCTCTGGTTGATTTAGCGTTACTACAGCAGGAAACCTACACAAACTAGCTATATTTACACTGGATAATTCTGTCAGTTCTAAACAGTTCCTCCTGCAGTAAGCAACATCTGTTGTTAAAAATCACCTACCAGCGTAACATATGTTTCGCATCATTCAACCATGAACAACGAATGATAACATCCTTGTCTGCAACAATATCACCCTGACTCTTTTCAATTTGCCCCTAGACAGGTTCAAACAACAGATATAAAGCCCAAGATAATAAGAAGCACCTCCAAAATTGGAGTTACCTGAAACACATCAAGTAATAACATGTTTATTTCACATGTTTACATAACCTGTGTTTTCTCTATTATAAAATTATTGCCACCACTAAATGCGGAAGATACTTTTGAACCAAGAACATAACAAACTTATCATTAACCTACCATTTTCCTTCTGTTTTTAACATATCTGACTTCTAACTCACTGTATGAAATCAGTAAAAGCTTACATAGGTGTTTATTAAGTAGTGTGCTAAGAAATGTTGTTAATGACCAGACAACGAGGCAATAGATCATAATGAGCTTGCAACTGTATCTTTCACAATATAGCCAAATATTGGAGCAAATATCATATAGCTTGCAATAAATATTGTCTGGAGAAGGCCTCTTAAGGCATAATTTATGCTGAAAACAATGATTAAATAATGATTGTGTACAAAAATTATATTGCATTCACATGTGATAGCAATTCCGGGTAATGATAAGGGAGTGTAATCCTATCTTGTGTAATAATTGCAGTAAAATTAACAACCAGCATTTCCAAATTTTGCTTGATTGCATACAAAATATTAGTTGAATTTGATGTTGATATTGTTATTATATTTTAACTACAATGTATAGGTTGGGATGTTATAACAGGAAATTACATGACAATTATCAATTAATTGTCCGATTTTTAGAAGTCTTCACTTCAGCCTCACCATGCACAAATATTAAAGCATCTACGAAATTTTGCGAGGGTGAAGTGTCAGAAGCGATCCATATAGTTGAGTAAATCAAGAAAAAGATACCAACAGTGACTTATTAAAACACGAGGCGTAGTTTTTCTTTGTGGTGAATGTGGTTGAATTTTCAGGATTTTTTTTTTCATGCTCAGAGAAGTGAGAGAACGAATGGTGAAACATCATGTAATACGATAGGTAGCCCAACATTCGTGTTTTGTGCGCGTACATGCTACTCAGTGACTAGCATATATTAATTTATACTAAGGTTGGCAACTTTATCACCAATTATCAATAATGCATACATGTCAAACTTCGATAATTTGGATTCAAAACTATAGTCAAGAACCTCACCTTTGTCAACCGAAATAACAAAATCAATTCCAAAGTTTGCAGTGAACCCTCGCGCTTAGACCATGTGCTATCATAACTCACAGCAATCTCTGCAATATCTGACTCAACAATGACTGTGCTATTTCCATATCTAGGAGACTCATCATCGGTAACTTTCAACTCTCCGCCTAATTCCCAATTATGCAAGGACTGAAATGCACTTGCTAGGTTTGAAAGTTCAATCATTCGATAACCATACTCGCCATCAAAATCCTCTCCTATCTATATCTTCACTTGTAAGCTTTCGTATTGAAGCAGTTTCATTCAGTGATGTTGACCCACATGGCATTGATGTCGATGATGAAACACACTCAGAAGAGCCACTTTGACCATGGAAGCATGATTATCTTGCTCATAAATCTGAATCCTGCAATATTAGAACAGAGTACGAAGGTATTTTATTAACAAAATCATTATCTGAGTATAATCCTTTATCCAAATTTAATAATCATTCAACAATCACTGTAAAAATAATTATACACAGTATCTCAAACTTAGATAAAATTGACAAACTTACAGGAGATATCTTCCAGTAGTTCTTTTTCAAAATATTTATTTGGTTGTCTTTTAAACGACAATTGTTGAATGGTTTTATAAAGCTCCACTCTTCACTCTTGATGCGTCCGCCATTTTAATTTAGTTTTTTGGATACTTCATGTTGTGCAAATGAAATGGATTCACACCAAAACGAAAAATATAAACAAAGCTCGCACATGCGTAGAAGCGAAAGGAAATTGCGGTGAAGAGCGGTGGAAATTGCGGTGAAGAGCCGTGGAAATTGCGGTGAAGAGCGGTGGAAATTGCGGTGAAAAGCGGTGGAAATTGCGGTGAAGAGAGCCGAAATTGCGGTGAAGAGCGGTTGAAATTTCTTATTTTTTTGCCTGTTTTAAAGACACGGCTTCTGCGCGTGCGCCAGCCTGGGGACTCCACCTGAAGTTGATAATCCCCCGGATTGTTCAGTCTAAAAAAACCATGACCAGCCGACAATTTAAGAAAGAAATTCTCAATCTTTCAAGAGCACTGAGTCATGTCGTCGAGTAGAAAAGAATATTATGCTAGTAGAGATGCCTCTAAAGTGTATTTGTTGGGTTCTTTCCCTCGATGGAGAGCGTTTAAGGAGCAGCATAAATTGAGAACAGACAAGGATGTGGCGGATATGCTTCTTGACAGCTATCTTGCGATGAATCGTATAGTTTGGTAAGTATAAAATGATAAAACCTCTGATCTTTTTTGTGTGTTATTTGTTTACTTGATTTGCTTTTTATGTATGTGTTGAACTCACTTTAGCAATGCAGACACGCATACCGAAACAGTAATGGAATCAACGGATATGCCGCCAAGTACACCTTCCAAATATTTTTATTCTCCCAGTAAGAACATATGTTTTAAAGTGCTGCTCCAAAAACGTAAACATTTATTATTTTTTAAAATATTCGCATAAAACATTCGTATGAAATATTTTATAGTTAAAACCTCAACGCCAAGCGCGCACTCAAATCTGCGTCCATTGTCTGCTTTGTCGGATGTTAGAACATCATACATCTCTACTGTGGAAGAAGTCATCCTTGAAGATGCAATCAAGAAGGAAAAGTGTATTGTGTTTACAGACACTCTTATAGCTTTGATAACATCATTAATGGGAGTGTTTGTAAACGACAAGGATGTGGTCGTGTGTTGAGCTATAAGAAAACATATGTTGGAACATGCCTGGTCGTATCCTGGGGGTGTAGGTCTGGTCATGTTGGAGGCAGATGGGCAGCTCAACCCTCTTGCAACAAGATTAGAGCAGGCAACCTCGTGCTTGCTTCTGCTTTGTTGTTGTCTGGCAATTCCTACGCCAAGGTGGGGTTGATGTTCAACTTCTGTTATCTGCAGTATTTCTCATCAATATTATTCAATCAGTATCAGAAGTTGTACATCATCCCTGCCATTAATGACTACTGGGAAGAACACAAACAGAAATGTTGGAAAGAAAGAGAGAACAAAGAGGTTATATTGAGTGGTGATGGAAGGAATGACTCGCCTGGCCATAGTGCACAATATTGTACTTACAGCTTGGCTGATACCAATGATCGTGCCATACTGCAAATGAATGTGGTTGATGTGAGAGAAGCTGCTGGTAAGAGCAATAATATGGAGAGGATTGGGTTTGAAAGAGGGATGAACACACTGCTTGCACCACCAATAGTTATGAAGGAGGTGGTAACTGATGGTCATATTGAAATTGCTGCATTGATGAGTAAGTATCTACATTATAACAATATGGCAATTCCTGAAACTCTAATAGTTCAACCTGTTATAATCAATATTGTCAGACTTTCAATAATTTAACAACTTCATTTGCAGATTGATTACAATGTTATATAATTAATTGTGTTTACCCTTTAAAAGACAGTAAGGGAATATTTACAACATGCATTTGTTTATTAATTAAGCATTATTGCATTTTTTAGAAAGGGAAGAGAAATATAAGGAGGTCACACATCAGAATGATGTGTGGCATGGAGCAAAGAACATTGCAAAGAAAATCACTACTGTAAGTGTTGAAGATATCAACCAGCAATTAGTTAAAAAACTTTCTTTATTTAGAATTGATTTTATTCTTTAGGCTGCTAAATCTAAAGACAATGCAGATTTGACCTTGTGGGCACCATCAATAAGGAACCATTTTTGGTATTGTTCAAAAACATGTGCTAATGACTCAAAAAATCTCAAAGTAAGATTCACATTGAAGTACTACTGGTTTTTGCAGCAATACTTATCTAGTTCGTGCAAACTGTACATACATGTGTTAATATGTAGTCACTTTATGTTGTATTTTTTATATTTTTTAATAGGATAAGTGGATTGGTATTTTACACCATGTTGTTGATGAGCATGAGTGGGTGTTGGAGGAAGGTGTAAATGGTGGAAAATGTGAACATGATCCTCTTAATGAAAGTGAGAGAAAGAAGCCATGGCTTAAGAAAGAGTCTTCTGCCCATAAAGCACTGGCAAAGATCATTCTGGACACTCGCTTTTTAAACACTTTGGTGTATTATGTTAACTTCAGGTAACAAATGAGATTGGATATTTGAAAATTTCAGATAAGTTATATCATCTCAAAGTTTGAAATATTTTTTAGGCACACAGGATTTTTAGAGTCCTTTCATAATGTAATTTTGATGTATGCTCCAAAGCGCCATGCCTATTCGTAAGTATATGACATATTATTACAAAGGTAACAGCTAATAAAACTCCTATCATGGTTGATTTCCATGCAAGGAAGCATTGTTAATAAAAAAATGTTGATGTTTGTTGTATCTTCAGATACTCAGTATACCAAGCTAGAAACCAGCTTGCTGCCTTGGACTTTAACCACCACAGAGGCCGAGCACCAGCAACTACAGCTGATGGGAAAGAAAGGTACTGGTATTGAAATTTTTGCCTTAGTGTTCCCATCTTAAGTGTGAACAACTTTTCAGGTCCTGTGCATTCTTATAGTGTAATGGTACTCATATTGTATGGAATTGTAAAGTTGTTTTTTTTATTAGGTACGGTCGGAAGTTCAGTAAGCGTACACAACAGTGGTGCCGTGTTCGTGTTCTTGTACCAAAAGAATTTAGTTACATTCCTGAACTGATGCAGAAGGTTTTTATAAAGAGGATCACATCAGAAGGGAATGTAAACAAAAGACTTGGTATTCCAAGTGATGATCCTAGACAAATTGCACCCAATATTGCCCCTGTTCCTCCTCCATCAGTACAGACACTTGTCGACACACATAAAACAAGATTTTAATTGTTGTGTGTAAAATCAAGTTACTTTGGTAGGTGGAGCTCATTAGTCATGGTAGGCAGTTCACCTAAGAGAAGGAAAACTCTAATTTCAAACCCCCAGACCCTAGGTCAGGCTGTCCATGTCGGAATCATTGATGTTATCATCATTTCATTTGTGTTTCCTAGGCATGCTGACGAGCTCTGATATAGAGCGAAACCCCATTATCAATGAAATAATAATATCTTAAATGAAATGTTTTATAAATTATTATGATATATGTATAGGGTGTCCCAAAAAACACTTTGAAATTGGAAAATTAGCATTTAGGTTGATGCTAATCATGCACATGGACAATTACAACAACTAAATCAGCATTACAATGTATGAAGACTAAAATGAAAAATTTACCCAGCTATATATTTTATTACCTGCCTGGCTCAGCCCAATTCTAAAAATGTTCACTTGCATTGTATAAATATAATATAATATAATATAATAATATACTTTATGTTCTTGAGCATTAATATTTTTTGGGCCTGCTATAACATCAGACCAAAAACATATTTATGCCCACAAACATCGATTGTGGTTTATTTTGGTCTACTTTTTGGGGGCACCATTTATACTTTAAGTGCTAAATTATCTAAACACGTGCAGGCAAATATTCCCTGTACTGTCCATTAGGTGAAGGATAACAGTTACGAATAGCAACCACACAACAGCTTGGTACTACTCTCCCATTTCCTCTTCCTAATCTACCATGTTGCCATAGAACATGCTGTCTATATGCAGCATGGCGAAAGTTTTCATTGTTCCTGACATTGTTCAACACCAAAACATCTTCTCTGTATCGCATTGAGATCTCCAAAACATTCCCATCAAGGATTAGTTGACTGAAAAGATTTGTTCTTGAGATACAAGGACGTCTTGATCGGGTGCAGCATTTGTTCTCTTCTTGAGTGGGCATAATAATGCAGCACCCACACTTGCACCAATCTGGAGCATCATTATCAGGTTCTGGGTTTGGTGGTTGGGGTTCATTTCCGCTCACAAGCTCACCATTAACAATGTCAGCAAATGCTGCTGGCTGTCTTCTTAGCAATTCAAGAGCAAGCCTTCTCAGGTTGTCTATATTCATTGCCTCAACTAGATCCTGAAATCAGCATAAGAGTAAAATATAAGATATGCTGCATGTGGTATTATGTTTTATTGTTTTTACACAAAGGCTTTTAAGAATAATTGTATGAAATCAAGTGTTGACAAAGGCTCATCTTACCACTAAATGCTGCTCATGATCTGCTTGATTTTCAGCAATATTTGGCTCTTCTAACAAACGCCCTCTCCCGCTACCTCTTCCACGACCTCTTCCACGACCTCTTCCACTACCTCCCCTTCCACATCTTTGTGAAGCAGTACCTTGCCCTCTTCCCTGACCTCTTGCTCTCCCCCTTGGACGACCTCTTCCCCTACCACGTCCTCTCTTTTCAATCTGCAGCTGCTGCTCGCCCTCATTCTCACTTTCCTCTATAGTGAACTCAGAGTCCTAGATAATTGCAAATCACAAAGTAAACAAAGTGGAAAAATATTTCCACAATGAAACCAGCCCTCTTGGCTCTCTCCCACCCATATATTTAAAGAATGACATAATCTTACTTACACTCTCATCACTATCGCTTTCTTGAACAAGTTGGTTGTTCATGCAACAGCCAAAGTCTTCGCCATGACACGCGCTCGAACACAAGCTATTGATGCTTCTGCACGGACAGAAATTCCGTCCTTTTTCACGAAGACAGTGCCCTCTACATTTGCACACTGTGATTTTGTCACGGTTAGGCTAGCCGCTGCGTTTTCCAAAACATTAGCTTCGAAATCTTCAAGCGAAAAGCTTCCTTCAATTGCTCCTGCCATGACTGTGACCACCCTGGTATGAATGAGTTTTCGACGGCGGAAAGATACCGCACAGTATATTTCATTATTAAAGACATTACTAACACTTCCAAGGCTATCAAGTCCCAAATATAAACAAACCAAAAGCGAACCGATTAGAACTCGGCCCCTTGTATGACAACTTCGGCCGCCGCTCCAGCTGTTAATCTACGATTTCAAAGCGGCTTTTCATCCACTGTTGTAAAGTGTTTCCGTAAAATGTTGTATTTGCTTATTTTTGGTTTTTTCTATAGTTTTTTTCCGCAAATATATTTTTGAAAGAAGCGTCGCTCCTCTCTTTTTTTGTTAATAAATCATTGCGAATATATGTTATTATGTTGTAGAATCATTGCGGATCAAACAAAAGTAACAAAGCTCGCACATGATGCGCAGAAGCCGCTGTAACCTGTCTTTATACTTTTTATAAAGCATGCACAATACAAAAGAAAAAAAAATTACGCATATAAACTTAGATATAAACTAGAGAAAACTACTTTATCTTATATCTTTATCTCCAAGAAGGACTACCACGAACATCATTCGCTGCGAGCAAGCCTTTACGTTTCTCCTTCCCCATCTTTCGGCGCCATAGTTCGTTCTGAAATCAAATAAGCAAGGAAAAACTAAATTAAAGTAACCGCTCTCTTGCATTTGACATTTTCAACCGGAATATACAAGATGAAGCAGTAAAAATCGGCAGGAATATCACCACGTACCTAAGCAAGACTTCCAACTTTTCCCGAACTTCTTCGAGACTGCAAGTGCAAAGACTGAGTTTCGTCTAGATTGTAGGTTCAACTGCCTTTTATTACTTCAAAGACAATGTTTTAAACCGTGGTTTTCAAACAGGAGGCCTGGTAAATTTCAAAATTTTCTTGGAGGAGGAGATGCCCCCCCCCACATCTTCGTTCCCAGGTTTTTGGAGTACAGGAGATGCCCTCCCCCTTGACAGTGGTCTATCCCCGCGGCCCTGACCATGAGGACCTATTACGTGCTAATCCCAATGCCAGATATTTCCTATTTATTACGTAAATTACGTAATGATTCCACAACCATCTTTTTAAAATTCTTTTACGACAGTGTTCTGGGGATCGAACCCAGAAGCCACAAACGCGTTTTTATCACTATCAAACAACACGTTTTGGTTTGGCCCCAGGCCTGGACACTCTTTTTTAAAGCCAAACGAAAAGGAGGGAAACCGGAGTGCCCGGTGAAAAACCCTCCAAAGGTAACCTGAATTTCAGGTTACCTGACCGGCGGTCCGAATTTGGTATTTTTATTAGAAATCGTTCGCAATGACATGCACTTCAGTTTTTATCTATAATTCATCGTTTCAGCTCCGCTATTCAAACCGAGTCCCAGGAATTGCCATGCAATTCTTGATCCTCGTTAATTCGATTCTTCTGGTGGTCTAACCTGCGGAGCGCGCGCATATTTAGAGCGCGCAAAACATCATGCTCTTAGACATTCAACTGCGCTTTGTCCGACAATGGCAACGAAAATTATTTCCGAATTATTCAAATGTTATTTTATGATAAAAAAATACTTTTTCACGACTTGCATGCTTTTCATATCAAACTGATGTAGACAATAACACTTTTCTTCTACCCTTTTTTAAGACATGCCTCATGCACTGTTTTTATTTTTATTTTATACGTTCTGGATTACGGTTGACCGAATATGAAGGAAATAAACGTAATCGGGCTGAACATGCAACTTACTCAATATAGCTAATCAATAATGTCCCCTTACCTTTAAATTTTCGTAACGTATAATTACCTTTGGTAAACAATGTATCGAATTTCACTTGCTTCATTGCTCCACTCCAAACAGTTATTTCTTCTTCAACAGCATCTCGACGGTTGGGCGTGTAAGAAATTAAACAACATAGTAAGTGTGTCAAAATGCAAAGGGTTTTCTTTAAAGGGTTGGCTTTTCAGGCAAGAGAGTACTATACAATATTAAACCTACAGTTTAAACATTATACCTCGAGATACCCCCACTATAAGTCCAGTTATCATGCAATGCAATATGGGAGGTATATTTTCCTCTTATACAAATTTCATCAAGTTAGTCAAAGTGATTAGATCACGTTTATTTCCTTCATGTTCGGGATTAATCGGATTTTTCAAAGCTTACAACTGCAAACCAAAAAATTAATACGAACAGCAAAGCACTCATTTTTTTTCACTTCAAACTTCAAAATTCCATGCTAAGGTATAATTTTTGTTGCCACTGACGGACGGTCCTTCGAAACGCATTATAACAGGCTGAACAGAGAACTTATATAATCATATAAGTACTCGCGATTACCTTCGTATTAATCTAAAATTAGGCTAATACGAATTCGATATTTTCTCTAACAAATTGCATTTTGTTAGTTTCTTTTGAACGCTTTAAAGCCATCATGCATACGCAGACGCTACGTCGTTGGATTTCACACTTATTCACACAAGTGACAAAACTAGGAATTTTTTATCGAGAAAACTCGAAAAATGCCCTCATAAGAGCTGTGAGAAATTTCCTGTTATCATGCATAGTCGAAAAGGTTGAAATGCACTTGATGTGTGAATGTTAGGTTAGACCACCAGGAGGATCCATGCCATGCAGCATGCACAGCACTAATCATGCATACCTAAGTATATACCTCAACAGCTTCCACTTGATCCTGCGACGCTCCTCTAACATCATAATTATCACTGATCCTGTGACGCTCCTCCAACATCTAATTCATCACTGATCCTGCGAGCTCCTCCAACATCTAATTCATCACTGATCCTGCGACGATCCGTCTGGTCCGCGACGATCCTTCAACATCTGATCCTGCAACGATACTTTAGAACAAAGAATATATTAATTTCCAAGTCACAAATATCACTTAGATACCAGTATCATACCATACCATACCATACCACACCATCTGATCCTGAGACGATCCTTCAACATCTGATCTGCAACGATACTTTATCAAAATGATATGACATTAATTTTCAAGTCACAAATATCACTTAGGTAGCAATACCACATACCATACCTACCATCCATACCATACCATATGATCCTGCGACGATTCTTGAACATCTGATGTTGCGATGATCCTCCTGATCCTGCGACGATCCTTCATCATCTGACACAAAAGTAGATATGAATAATTCCAAGAGAGAAATGTCACTTATGTATAAAGCACTTAGGGTAATTTATAGAACCTCCAACACTCCAACGTCAGTCACTCGTGGCCTTCGCATTGCGCACGCGAATACAAAATGTCATGCACGTTTTAATACAAAATATCATGCACGTTTAATACAAAATGTCATGCACGTTTTAATACAAAATGTCATGCACGTTTGAATACAAATGTCACGTTTTAATACAAAATATGCACGTTTGAATACAAAATGTCATGCAGGTTTTAATACAAAATGTCATGCAGATTTTAATACAAAATGTCATGCACGTTTTAATACAAAATGTCATGCAGGTTTTAATACAAAATGTCATGCACGTTTTAATACAAAATGTCATGCAGGTTTTAATACAAAATGTCATGCACGTTTTAATACAAAATGTCATGCAGGTTTTAATACAAAATGTCATGCACGTTTTAATACAAAATGTCATGCACGTTTTAATACAAAATGTCATGCACGTTTACAAAATGTCATGCACGTTTTAATACAAAGTCATGCACGTTTTAATACAAAATGTCATGCACGTTTTAATACAAAAGTCATGCACGTTTTAATACAAAATGTCATGCACGTTTTAATACAAAATGTCATGCACGTTTTAATACAAAATGTCATGCATGTTTTATACAAAATGTCATGCACGTTTTAATACAAAATGTCATGCACGTTTTAAAACAAAATGTCATGCACGTTTTAAAACAAAATGTCATGCACGTTTTAAAACAAAATGTCATGCACGTTTTGTACAAGAAAGAAAGAACACTGGACTATCATCTCCTTCTAGAAATACATATTCATGTTTTTATGTTTTAGCGCTCTTGAGCGATATTTTTGTCCGGACTATATAGTCGTCAAGATGGAGAAAACACAAGTGATTGGGGCCCAGAATCACTTGTATTCACTCCGCATGCGCTTGATACGACCTAGACTTCATGCAAAAATCATGCACAGGCGAAAAACTGAAAATGAAGGAGGTAAACAGAAGAGTGTTCAGTTTATATCTTAGTCAAAAAAGCCAAATTCCATAATTTTTACTCATGCATATTGTCGAAATCGAGTTTTGTATTTGCGTGCATAATGTCCCAAGGCATGTCCGACATCTCTTTACGATTCTTTCGTTCTACAAAAACAGAACTTCGGTAAAACAAAAGGACAGGGAAGTCTAGCATAGTACAATCATATACCAATACAAATAATTATATAGGCATTGAGTTTCCGTCTTTCCCTTTCAAAACGAGCATTCCCTTTGGGCAACCCTGTCCGAAAAACGAATAGGCCAGCCTGGAAAGTTAGTTTCAGTCATAAAATTCGAATTCATTTCTATATATCAAAACTATTCTAGTTTCGTCCACCCCGACTGTCCGTAAACAAAGTACAAACGTGTTTTTTCAAGTCACAAATGCAAAATACACATATATAATAGAACAATACCTATTATTCGCTGCGAGCAAGCCTTTACGTTTCTCCTTCCCATTTTCGGCGCCGTAGTTCGTTCTGAAATCAAATAAGCAAGGAAAAACTAAATTAATGTAACAACTCACTTGCATTGGACATTTTCAATCGAAATATACAAGATAAAGCAGTAAAAATCGGCAAGAATATGACTCCATTCGCTCACGTCTTCCCACGCTATTCAAATCAACACAGCGATCAGTAAATTTGTTTACAAAGCCAAAGATCAATCCAAAAGCTGTTCAAACTAACAATCACC